TCTCGAACAAGGCGTTTCAAATAATTGAGATCGAACTTCACATCAGGTAAGTTCGTTTGATCTTTCAATTATATTCCACGCCTTGTTCTCAATTATCATAGGTAGATGTTTAAAGAAAAGTTTAAACACAATTACACTGCAGTTTTTTACTGATGAACTGCTTTTTACAACAAACAAATGAAATAAATTACAAAAGAAAAAGGTTATTAACATCTAACAAACTATGTATTAATAAACAAATTATTACAATAGAAAAAAAGGGTTTTAACACTAACAAATTATGTATTAATTAGCAAATTATTACAATAGAAAATGATTTTTAACATAACTATGTATTATTATGCTACCAATTTAAGTGTTAAACGTAGTTGACTTATCGGACCAACCTGCTGTACGTTTTATTGTGTCAATGCTGATTCCCATTCTGTTAGTTGACGACGTTGCTGCGTGTCGGGTAGAATGAGAAGAGAACATAGATGTATCTATCCCACTATTAGATAGAGTTGTCTTTATCCAACGACTTACAGATTGAGAAGTCGCGGGGTGATAGGGTTTTTTGCATGTCAATATTAATTTGAATTCTGATCCCCTCATACCCTTTGTCTGTTCAAGGTAACATTCTAGCACCGCAGCTACGCATGAAGGTGGCTTTTCTTTAAAGTAACGAATCTGCAGCAAAGATTGCATTTTATTTCGAGAAGAAGTTTTTATGCGGTGAGGAATTTTTATCTCATAACCATCAGGTTTTTTATAAATATTGTCCAATTCAATGAAGGTTAATGTCTGAACTCTCTGTGCTGTGATTAAAATTAAAAGGGTAACAAGTTTGTAAGTGAGTTGTTCTAGAAATAAGATGTTGTTAGGATATTGCTTATAAAGGTAAGATAAGACAATACTTGGATCCCAAGTAAAATCATATTTTGGAGTAGAAGGTTTTATATTTGATATTCCTTTAAAAAATCGTTTAATCCGATAATCTTCCCCTACTTCAGGGCCTATAATTAAGGAAAGAGATGCTCTAATGGAATTGAGCGTTCCATAAGAGCGATTATTTTGAAAAATGTCTGTTAAGAAAAGAAGAATATTGGAGACACAGAATTCAAACATATTCACCGAGTTTCTTATACAATAGTGGTGCCACAGTTTTAAGCCTGAAGAATACTGTTTCTTTCATAGTTTGCGGTTGTTATGGAAGCTAACAAGACTTCAATTGCTGCATCTGGCATCCCTTTTCGGCTGAAAGCCTCCCAGACATTTGAATTGCCATCAACGTTAGAGATTTCCACATGGGATGAGGGATTCTATTGACAGAAAGTAATAAGGATTTTTTTAGGTTTAAATATTACAGGTGATGAAACGAGCAATTCGTGAAACAGAGGGAACCAAGGCTGGGAAGGCCACTGCGGCACCACTATAATTCCCTCTGCCCCATCAGATATGAACTTTTGCAAAACTTTTAATATCATCACAAAAGGAGGGAATGCATAAAAGTACCACCCTGACCAAGAAATTGTGAAGGCATCAGTCGCCACCGCTTTGGGGTTTGGTTTCCAGGATACAAATTTCTGACATTTAGAATTTATTTTGGTGGCAAACATGTCAATTGACAAGGGGGGTAGCCATGTGTGAGTTGAGGTAATTTTAAGGTGAAGGGTGAGAAAAAGTCCTTTATATCTCACAAGGAAAGCCAATGTTTAATTGTTTAACAAAACATTGAGCGCGACCGGTTTCGAAGTGTCATCACTTCATCTTCAGGCTCGCCTAGTGGAAAGGAGAATATGTGGTGTAAGGTGTGTTGGAAACAAAACGATATATAAAATAATAAAAAAGAGAAAACTCACCATACTCTCCATCCACTAGGGAATACTACAAAAACAAGTTTCATCAATTTTGGGTTGAAATAAATTGTAAAATGAACCGATTTACACGTAATAAAAAGTTAAAAATATTTGAAAAAACAAATATTAGTCAATTATAGTAAAAATTTTAAAATATTCAAGACTATACAAAAACAAATCACATACATTAAACAGATTAAAAGATAAGGCCTATTTTAAACATTGTTGTTTTTAAAAAAAAAAAAAAAAAAAAAAAAAAAAATTAACATTTTTTGAAAGGAGACCTGTCAAGTTAAGGCCTCTACAGGTGGTGGTAAGTATTATAACGAAAAAATTCTTGGGTAAACTTATGACAGGGTATAGTTAATAAGATGTAAACTATGAGTGAAGAATTATTTATTATCTATTATATAAGATTTGGGCCATGAACCAATCACCAAGTGTATGTGATGTTGTAGGAAGAAGAAAGAAGAAGAAATGACTGAGTTAACTGTTGTGAAGCAACTGAAGAATAAAAGAAGAAGAAAATGACGCATGTGGATATCAGACAATCTAACCTAATCTTTACACGTGCTCGTTGGTTTCTTGTGGGAAAAAATATAAAAATTACTTACTGAAATGTACCCCTTGCAAGAAGATATGTGAATAGAAATAAAGGGGGGGAGGTTAAAAAGGAAGTTAGAACGATAAATTTAGATTAGTGTTGAGAAAACAGGAGGAGTTTCTGACAATATCTGGGCATTTAAGCAACCAACAGGATTTAATTTTAAATGTCTCAATATCTCGAGGTTTTCGAAGCTATTAAGAGTAAATCTATTGTAGGAACTATGAAGGATTTCGAAACCTTCAGTTGAATCGAAGTCGTGATTTGAGTCCAGTAGGTGGTTGGCAAAATGTGAAAAACCTGTTGTATTTTGGTTAAGACAACGTAAATGTTCTTTTAAACGGATCTTGAAATTTCGAAATGTGCGTCCCACATAGAAAGAATGGCAAGATTTACAAGTTAATTTATAAATTCCAGATAAGTCAAAGGGATCTAATTTATCTTTATTATGAACAAATAACTTATGTAATGAAGAGGGGGTTTTGAAAGATACTTTAAAGTGGTCTTTGAGTAAGCTAGCTAAGAAATACATTTCTCTTACCTTTATTGGAAAAGCCTGAAGATGAAGTGATGACACTTCGAAACCGGTCGCACTCAATGTTTTGTTAAACAATTAAACATTGGCTTTCCTTGTGAGATATAAAGGACTTTTTCTCACCCTTCACCTTAAAACATGTCAATGTCTGGGACAACAAATTTTTTAGTTATTACTGCCATTGCCCTGGAAGACAATTCAAATTCTATCTCACTGTTAAATTTCCTTGATGCATCGTCAGCTATGTTGTCTTTTGAGGCTACATAAGATGTAAAAATTCGTATTTTTATTTTGCCGCACCACTGCCATATCCCTCTTGCTATATTATTCAGATTTTTAAATTTGGTACCTCCCATTCTATTGATGTGTGATATGGCAGTGGTGTTGTCGATTCGCATCAAAATTTCACAATTTATTAAAGAGTGTGCAAAGGATTTCAACCCAAAAAACGCCGCTCTTAATTCCAATTCATTTATATGGAGAAGTTTCTCTTCAGGGCCCCAAGCCCCTTGGTGTGTCTCACTGCCATAGACTGCCCCCCATCCTATTTGAGAAGCATCTGTAACTATCTCCTTAATGATTTTGTTACTGTGGATTATATTAATGGCTTTACCAACCTGTTCTCTTCACCATTTTAAGTCTGATGTTGTGGAACTAGATAATGATATGGTGGCCTTATAATTAACACCACCTTTTTTTAATGCTATAATTTTTTCGCGCTGCAGCTGTTTTATGTACAGCCAGCCTAATGGTATAGCCGGACTAGTTTGCCCACTATTCTTGCAAATTTTCGTTTGATACATTTTTGCTTTCTCAAAATATTAGTAATTTCTACATTTAAATTAGTTCTTTTTTCATCTGGGAGGCTCAAGTACATGGTTTGAGAATTCAAAATGAACCCTAGGTGCCGACATTGTTTGGAGGGAATTAACTGGCTCTTACTTTTCTAAAAATTTACATGTATACGATATATTTTTCAAACAATTATCATAATTACCAAATAATAAAAAGTCATCTAGATATACCGTGGATATAAAACCTTAACTTCGCAAATGTGAAATAACAGGTTTTAAAATTTTTGTGAAAACTAGTGGGCCACTACTAATACCAAATGGCATGGCTAAGAAAGCGAATTTTCTATCATTTTCATAAATTTTTATTAGTAGATAGGCTTCTTTCAGGTCAATTGTTAGACATTAATTTAGTGGCTACTGATATGTTTTCCATTTTAAAATGATTAACTAATAGAAACTAGTTTAATTTCTTAAGATTAAGAATTAAACGTTTCTTACCATTTGGTTTAGACAATAAAAATATACTAGATAAAAATTGATTATTAGGGCTATATCATTTGATAGCTTTAATATTTATTAAATGAGTTAATTGAGAAGCTATTAAGTTCTTCTCAGAAACTGACCAGTTTTTAAATTTAGAAGACTGATTTTGCCTTGGTTTATTATTAAAGGGTAATTTGTACCCATTTAACCATGAAAGGATTACCTTATCTTCACAAATTTTTTCCCATTGGGGTATGAACCTGGCCAACTGACCGGCTTCAAAACTTACTTGAGAAGTTAATATCTCCTCATTCTTGATGATCCTCTCTTGGACCTGTCCCTCGGCTTTTGAGATACTTTGTGATGATGTCCGGATTTGCCTACGTATTTCAGTCGAGTGTTTCTGTATGGAGTGTAGCCGTCCACACTTAGAAGACGTTTGGACGGCTGTTTGAAGTTTAAATGCTTCTTAAGTTTAGACCTTTTTAGTTCGTCTCCAGATTTCTTTAAAGCCTTTGATGCCTTAACCCTTTCAGTCAAATTTTCTCCAAATAGAAAACCATCTGTAGCTTCAATTCCTACCATAACTTTTACTTCCTTCTCTAAATTTAAACTGATTAGGCTCTGTCTAACTAAAGTCTGATCCCTAAATAGATCAGCTACTAACTTAACTTTAATTTAATAGATTCAATCAAGGATAATGGCGTATTTTCTTTATTTTCATCGATTAGAAAGGTAAAAGCGTTTTACCTAGTGCTGATATTGCTGCTACCATTATTTTTTGGTTTGATTGTAATGTTTTCATTTCTTTTCTTTGTTGTAGCATCTATAGCCGCATTTATTTCTGGAATAATTTTTGGGGAGTAGAGGCTTACGAAATTTTGGGGATATGGGTACTTTTTTAGTAATTCCTCTCTATCATCACTATTTAGTCCCTTTTTTATTATTTGTTCCCACCTGCTCACTAAATCTTTATGAATGTCTTCAGACACATCACTGACAGTTGCCTGCTTGGGCCCTAATACTTCAAGTATTTCCCCACTGAGAGAAGGAACTTCTACAAATTCAATTCCCAAGGGATCAGTTGGTTCTGAGTTTTGTTTTTAAATAATACACATATTTTAATATTTATGTCGCATAACACATATATTTATTATTCTGTAAGAAAAATATCTAGTTTTTAGGAACATTTTCCTATGAAAATTGCACATTTACTGGAATCAAGCCCTTATGAGCTCAGTAACGGGTCTGCATAACCCTTTGGTCATAGAATACATCTGGTGTCTTGGTTTTTAGGAACATTTTCCTCTACAAATACATATTTACTGGATTCAAGCCCATATGAGCTTAGTGACGGATCCACATAGACCCTTAGGCCGTGCCCTTATGAGCAGTTTTATTAAGGATTGTTTCTATAAACTCGTAGGCCTTAAGTCATATACATGACTGCACATAAATTATTAGCCTCGTTTCTGATCTAAAACAAACATCGTTATTATAAACCTACCACCGTTTTCCTTCTCGTATTCATTATTAGCGTCCCCTTCCGAGGATCTTCCATCTTCTGACGACGACACGTTTTTTATCGCCATGACTATGGCGTTGTTTGTTCAATTTTCGTTTGATCAATTTATTTTTGAGTTTTAACCACTCAAGCTCATCGGATGAGCTTGAGGAGTCTTCGGAAGAACATGAGGTTTTCTCTTTTCTTAAATTTCCTATTATTTATCCAATTTTTTCGGGTAGAATGCAAAAATCAACGAAGTAGCTTCGCACGAGAACGAAGAATGACTTTACAGGCTAGAGTTGGGAGCGGCGTAGGAGGAGCAGAGAGGGCAGAGTTGGTGCAGTTATAAAAGGCGTTTTTTAGAGTGTGTACTCTTTAAAATACGTGGTAGCTGAGCGGGAGAAGGGGGTACTACCTATGATCATTGAGTACAAGGCGTGGAATATAATTGAGACTAATTTTTAGACTTTCACTTTCTATATTTTTTTTTACTATTTTTAGAATCTCTCTTGTACCTGTTTCTATTGAACAATCCTCGTAGCTTTAAAATGCCATAATTACTAAGAAACATTTTAATTATCTTAACAATATTATAACATAACTCTACCCATTACCCTTCCATTTTTGATCCACTTTCTGTCACTGCTATCGGACAGGATAGTGTCCCACTTACGAAGTTTGTTACTTACCCACTTACCAGTTAGTTTCGTTTTCAAATGAGTCAATAGGTAATTATACGTATTTTATCACCGAAAAAATTCACAAATTGTTTTCTTCTATGTAATCAGGCGTAGAGAGAAAGTATTGGACGGAAGTTAAGTAACAAACAATTAAGTATTATCGTCTTTTGTTACATAATAGGGCTAATTTTAAATAGATTAGAGACATATTGGTCAATGAGACAAGCTGTGATGGATGTACTAACGGCGCATATAAGATTTTAATTATATAAATAAAAAAAATTAATCATTCCAAATACTAATTCATATTATGTAATATCATAATAGTATTGATATTTATTAAAGAATTTACTTGCACAAGCTAAGATTTGCTTTAGTGGGTTCTTGTATAACTTAAATAAATTACATATATTACTGAAGCCCTCTTAACTATAAAAAAAATCCTACCCTTTCTTCTTAACACTTTTCTCTATGTTTCCGATAACGTTAAGACAGGAAATTGCAAAAAAATGTTTCGTTTGGTCGTCTGTGCGTATGTATGCCGGCACTTTAAGTAAGTTTAGAATCGCTTCAATCGACTTGATTTTCTAGAATAATTTTTTCTAATTTAGAACCCTATTGATTTTAAAAAGTTTCGGTTCAACTTAACTAAATATTAATGTTTTTAAAATCGAATATATTTCCTATGGACTTTATTTTATTCACCTCAACATAGTGAAATCAGACTATATGGATGGCTATTCTTATCAACTGTGAAATCACATATATTTTTCTGTATTATTAAATATCAAATTATTTAAAAATGTTTGAACGTCCATTAAGATTTTTTTTGCGGCTACTTAAGAAAGTGACACATATTGCCCTATTAAGTCTCCATGTTGTCCTAGGACTCGCCTAGGCTGCTGTTACCCGAACCTACGTCTCTTTGAGTTTCGAAATAACATAACCCTACTTTTCGTCATTACAAGTATCTTTCTCCTTTATTATTGTCCGAACAAAGTCGTATCGACAAGTAAAGTTATAGAATAGTGTCCGGAGTGTAACCCCGTGCATGGGGGAGCCCTCGGGGGCATCCACAATGTCGGGTAAACCGACACCGGTCACAGAATGTGAACAATCTGAACCAGCCATACTCAACCTGCGGCCCGCGGGCTGCATGCGGCCCTCCAAGCGTTTCTTTGCGGCCTGATACACTATTATTAGGAAGGCGTTTTTTACAACATTAGTTCGTTTTTAAAATCTTGAGCGAAACTCGCGAAAACATTAATCGGTTACTGTGCTAAATATCATGCTAGTTTTTAAATAAACGTTTGGATAATGGGCTTACTGCAAAAATAAAATATCTCAACTTTCTGCATTTTCGAGTTAAGTACACTTTGTTCTCCAAAATAGTTCAAATAAATACTGCTTAAACAAGATAACTGTAAACGAAGTCTATATTCATGATAAACAGATGGTTAACTAACTCCATATTAATACATATGCACAAACAAGATGAGTGGCATTTATACCGAAATATAATTACAACATTGTATTCAATTGCTAATAGTGTGTCTACCAAAACCAAATAAGATACATGTAACCTATTTTTGCTAAATGTGTTCGATTCCTAATAGTGTTTCTGTCGAAACAAGATAAAGGCCAGAATACTTATTTTTGTGAAAATATTTGTTCAAATGCTTCAATATTTTGCCCAAGCCATTTGTTTTGCCTAGAGCTGTCTCTGGTCTCTTTCGATTGGTCTGAAATCACCACCCTTTCTTTTCACGATACAGCTAACCTTCAAAAATCAATGGATGATAACACGTGATGTTTAAATAGTCATGTTGAATGATTGATTGGTCAAGCTGCAATGAGTGATTGGTCAAGTCGTAACGAGTAGAGATGCTGACGTTTTTCTTCATACTGTTTGCACGTTAAAACGACCAGAAGCACTTGCTTGAAAAAACTAAGCCATACCAGCAGAGGGATGCCTAAAAAGTAAAAAAAAGGCTCTGAAAAGTGCCAAATAATGTAAGTAATGCCAAGAAAAAATATTTACTACACCTGATGAATTTACCCATTAATATCCAGAATCTACCTGTATCCAATAATGTTAAAGACACCTCCTTTACCTTCAACAGACGTTAGTGACAGAGTTATTGAATATTATGACTTGCACAGTACACATGGATTCTTGTGTGTGAACTTGACACGATACGTATCGAATAGAGAGAGACATTACATAAGAAAGGAGAAAGGCGTCTCGATACGTGCCGTATTGAACGATGAGAATCCCACTTTTGTAGGCAGCTAAAATAAGTTAATATAAATAAAAATTTCCTTGACATATTCGGTCATTAATTTTATTTTATATTGTTATCACAGCACTACATATGTTTCGGAAACCTATGTTTCCACCTTCGGGTGCAGTCAAAATTTTAAAAACATTAAATAATACATGGGGACGATTACAAACAGTTTAAAATTTAAAATACCAGAAACCCCATCTTTTTGTTTTAGCGTGTTTATTTGAAAAATCTGTATTTGTATTTTTTAATGTTTTTAAAATTTTTACTGCACCCGAAGATGGAAACAGGTTTCCGAAACATATGTAGTGCTGTAATAACAATATAAAATAAAATTAATGACCGAATATGCCAAATTTTTTTTTTATATAAAATTCTGCTACGGTCAGGAAATTATCCTTGTTAAAATAAGTTAAGTGACGTTTCTTCTTTTTTTTTTGTTTCCTATCGATAGATTCTTAGTGTATATTTGTAAAGACTTGTTTCATTTTTATTTTTTTTTTATTGGAATTGTTTATTAAACAGTGCTTTTTCGGATTTTTTATTTCATTTTAAACTTTTGAAGAGCGTTTTCTCGAAACTCTAAAAATGTAAGTTATCTTGTTTTTGCAGTAACTCTATGGGATATATTTATGTTTTGTGATTTTTTTATTAAAGGTTCCCACTAACAAATTTTAAATGGGTGGCCTAAATAAAGGGTTATCATCCAAAGATATTGCGGCCTGTGTAACATAGCAAACATACATATGTGGCCCGAAGAAAAAAAAGGTCGAGTATGGCTGTTCTTAACAATCTAAACACTTGCCAAACCGTCTAAAAGCATATAAAAAACTTGTCAATATAAAAAACTAGTTCAACAAAGCCCGGGAAAACTATATCCGTAACCCTAACATTACGAGACCCAGAAGAAGGATTATCCTAACTGGAGCCATAAGAACTGTGAGTACAGAGGGACTAACAACTAACCTAGGAGACAAAGTCCAAATCCCAGAGAAATCCACGAAAAATGTTTTCCGGCAAAAAAGTATGGAGAATATAATCAAAAGCTAACCGTACTTGTCGCCTTAGACACTGAAAAGGCATTAGACACAGTATGGACCTGTGGGCTTATTTACAAAATGTGTATAAATGAATTTCCTATATAGTCTATATAGAAATTACGAAAGAAAAAGATCACGTTAAATTTCCTCACATTTATAGAGATCCCGAGGTAAGAGTTTGTGATTTTCATTTTATATTATTTAACAGTCCATTTTCACTTTAACTGTCTTTTTCTTACTATCGGTCAGAGCTGGGGAGGATTCGAATCACATTGAGGATCCGCGAGCGGTATTCAAATACTTCAGAAAAAAAGGATCCGTGATCCGGATTCGCCGGAAATCCTTAAGGATTCGTATTTGAATCACCAATATTAGTCTTGGGTCCTTTTAAAGTCTAGGCCGGCGCGAAGGGTCGACTTACGCGTTGACTTGTCGCGAATTGTAAACTGAAACAGATTGAGACTTAATATTTAGAAGATAAACGTAACAATCTATAAATTAATGTCAAAGAAGACAGCAGAGCACCTAGATAATTTTGAGTTGAAACCTATGCCATCCTTTTATACTATTTTAAGGCTATTTTGAAACCCTATTCAAAAATTTTATGCTCCTCGTTTTTTGCAGAAATCAAGGTTCTCTGCTATCTTCGAACGAAGCTCGCAGAGCACGTCGGTTTTTTTAAGCTTTTTCCTAAAAACAACTACACTGCATTTTTAGGCTCTTAAAATATTCTAAAACTTTACTAAAAAATTGCTATTTATAAATAATACAGGGTGCTTTGTTGGAAAAAAGTCAGCAGAGCATCTCGGTTTTTTAAAGCTTTTCTTCTAAAAACAACCACACTGCATTTTTAGGCTCTTGAAATATTTTAAAACTTTACTAAAAGTTGCTATTTTTAAATAATATAGAATGCTTTGTAGGAACAAAGTTAGCAGAGCACCTCGGTTTATTTTTTTTCTGGAAACATCTACTTATATCACATGGTTAAGCTATTTTTAGGCTGTTAAAATATTATATAACTTTTCGAAAAAAATAGTGTTTTTAAAGAAGAATACAGGGTACTTTGTTGGAACAGAG